TATATATATATATATATATATATTTATACATATATATGAAAGTTTAACAGCACGTCTGCATGTCCATATGGCAAAGAGAAGGTCATGTATTATGTATCAGAGTCCATTTTGGTATGCGCACTCACATTGTTCGAAAAAATTCACAAAAGGAAAAGAATTCACAGAATTCACATGAAAGTAAAGTTAATTGGTAAAAATGGCGGGTTCATCGGAGTGCCCAAAATGAGAGGGGTCATCGTACCTAGTAATTTTGGGAAAAGGAAGAAATTTTCCTATCTACTTTCTATTATTCCTAAAAGTGAGTTACACTGCGAGACGTAAGATAGAGCGGATGACGCGAAAGTTAAGGGAAATCGCCATAAAACTCTGTGCCTTTCGGGTTAGTAACACTCGCGGACTCACGCTCAGCCGTTCAATCCCTGTCCCTGAGTGCTGCTCTTTCTACTTTTTTATATCTCTGACCTCTTTCTATAGGCTATTCACTGCCAATGTCTTTCATGCTATTATTTGATGAATACGCAATGAATTTATATTGGGTTCGGTCTGCAAATGTTACATGCACTTACCCTAGTCAATAATTATCAGAAAATGATTGGTTGGAGGGACGGACGTCGATAGTTGAAAAGATTCAGAATATCAGCAAATTGCAAAGAATACCTGAGAACGACCATCACGACTTGGTAGGGTTAGACCAGTATAAACAATGTCAAATAAGGTCTAGGAAGCTTTTTAAAACAGCAAATACCAATTGTAGATACCCATTTGCTTCGTTGATTTATCAACACAATACATACAAAGTGAATATGTTCATAATGATTGCGATTATGGACAAGGAATGCATACGGGTCAAGTAGTAATCAGTTTCGAGCTCAAAATTGTGTCATTCGATCATAGGCCGATCTGCTTCTGCTTTGCGCTCACCAGAATGGTGCCGAAGTAAGGATCAGAGATTGAATGGCATGATTACTTCTGCTAACCTTCAGAAAGCACCTGCAGCTCATCATTCCCACTTGAAGGAATGAATTCTTTGCTTGGATACTGCTAACGACCGATGATAATTGAGCTATTCCACAGGTAGTCAAGCTAGAAAAACTATGAACGTACTCATGCTGCCCTGGGAGGCAAAGTTATAGCGTTCTAATCGAAATCTCCTTTTTACGAGTACGAGTGGATCACTATAATTTATTGTTATTTACAACACCTTCAATGGATTTGACCAAGAAAACTATGAAAGAACGACCATGATGGTGTTTTACGAGGCCTGCTGCGTAGAGCGAGTGAATTCCGGCACTTGATGCGTATGTTGAGGTCGCATTCTTCTCCAAACTGAAATGTGCATTACATATAAT